CTAATGCTTATTATAAAAGTGGCATACTTCGTGGACCTGCAGAAGTCTTGCAGTACATTTCTTACTGTATTTGGAAAATCAGGCTATAGTTATCACTGTATTTAAGATTATATTTTGCCACTGCACGTTACAATTGTGATTCTCAGACCCTCAACAAAAGTTATAAAACAGGAGATTGTCTTCAAAAAACAGGTTCTATTTACAAAACAGGACCAGAAATCAAAATTTCCATTTTGATTCCTGGTACTCTGAGGGATACACCTTTTAAAGCATATGTAGCATTGGACATGGGCTTTTTCAAAGTCAGTCATGATAAGCAAACCACTTGGTTTAAAATACATTTTATACTTTTTTTTTTGCTCTATCAGTGTGCATTACTCAGTGATACAGTGGGTACCTAAAAGTGCTAATGTCATTTCAGTTACTGACTTCAGGTTTGGCTAATTACAATGCAAAGAGCCACAATGAACGAGTTCCCATATGGAGGGCTCCCCCAAGGGAGGAGGAGCAAGCAGTCTGTGCCACTGGTAGGGTCACTTTCTTGAGAAAATCTCCAGCTGACCCGCATGCTCAGCGCTTTCTCTGAAATGCTCCACATTCTCATTCATATTCATGAACCTGGCTATGTTTCCACTTATTTGCATGCAAAATTTTTTCCCTGGTTCACGCAGGTCAATGCTATAACTGATGTGGTTAATGGAACGTCTACAGGCCTGTGAGAATTAAAGCAGCACCTTGTCCAAAATAGTCCATACAAGTTTGCTCCTTAACATGCCATTCAAGCAAAAATGCACATTGTTGCTGGCTTTCTGATGCCCACAGAAGCCTCCTTGGAGCCAATCGACATTAGCCAACCAGGTGGTGGTGAAAAGGAAGAGCAAGGCTTCAGATTACAATTACATTCAGCAAAAGCCTTTCTGGGGTCTGTGAGTACCCACCAGGCACCAGCTGCCAGCTGCACACTGCAGGTCATCCACAGGCCCCCATTCCCTGCATGAGTCAGTGCTGCCCCACTTGCATCAGTCTGTCTTGAACTGATCCCATGTTTGGCTGAAAAAACACTGTTGTGACAGACAGACCCACCGAATGAATACAATTTCCCTTTGTCTTTAGATTCTCTGGGCCTGTTTTTCACATATTTTTCCCTGAGGAAATGGAAAATTATTTACAGTATTTTGCTACCGTTCTCCAGTGTCCTCTCCTCTGTGGATGACTGTTGCCACGTTTTCTCTGAATGTTGCACATTGGTTCTCCCGTGGAGCCTAATGAGGGAGGAGATGGATGCCCACAGTGCCAGCAGATGCAGAACTCAGGGCTGCTTTGGGAAGTGGAGTAGAGCGTGTTGGCTGAGACAGCAGGCTGTGGCTTGGCCAATGCTACCATTTAACTGGGGGACATGTCGATTTCAGAAAACTGGTGGCCATGGCTTTCGCAAGTTTTGGGGAAGCCCTTGAGCTGTCAGCTGTGCCATTCTCTGCTGACTTTGTGCGTCCACCAGGTCATGGTAAGAGGGCAAGCAACTACAGTCAAGGGCATTTGGTGGTGTGTGGAGCCACTGCGAGGCACTTGTCACTGAATGGCACAGTCCTGCCCAGAAACCCACCACTCTCTACTTGACACTAGCTGTAGTCAACCAAAGGAGGGAACCTTCCAGTAAGCAAGGGAGACAAGTCCCTGCCTGCTGGAGATGTGTGTGGCACCGCTAACTCGCTGGTCAGAGCTGCTTCCCCGAAGGCAGTGCTTTCTTTGTCTCTCTTTCTGCATCAGGCAGCTTGCCCCTGGGAGGGTCACTTTCTTAAGAGCTGAAATTTTCAGTTGGCCTGTGTGCCACTCTCTGGGAGGTACTCAGGGAAAGGTACTGGCCACCTGACCCCCACAGGAGGAATAGCAGCCAGGTGTCCTCAGACCCTGGCAGAGCTGCCCGCATGCATAATGCTACTTGAGTGTTCTTTTTGCTATATCATGCCACCTCCTACAAACCAAGTGAGCAGGTAGCCTCCAAGGACTGAGGCCGAAAATTGGCTGATGAACACAATGTGTTGCTTTGTAGCTCCCTGGGGATGCCCTGTCCAGTTACCAGGAAACACCTTCTACAGAAGGAGAGGCAAGACTGCTCTAAAGGGGGAGGGGTGGCAAGGAGAACGTTGCTAGAAGCCCACAGGCACCTTATGCAGAACTGCTTGGGGCCCCTGAATGTGTGGCCTCCCCACTCTTCTTGCCCAGATCCACAGGGCTCCACTAAAGCTGGCACACTGTGCATGTCCTCTTGCCACTCCTCCCCGCCCTCCTTGCCAAATGAAGACAGAAAGAACTTGCCTCCAGAAAGACGGCATAAAATCCAAGTCCGGCAAAATTTGGCAATTCCTTTAGTTCCAAAATATAAAAAGATGACTATACCTTTAAAAAAAAACAATTTAAATTTTACAATCAGTGGCTGTATATTGCAATTCATTGCCTTCTGAGTGGCTTGGGAGTACAAGAACCACTTTTCTTCAAGGCCAGCCAGGGGGAGCTTGGTGCTCTCCTACTTTGTTCCATGCCTCCAGATCAGGAACAGGTGTGGTGTTTCCCGGAAGGCAGTGAGGGTGTGTCTTCATCTGGAAGCCAGAGAAGAAGGTACCCGGAGCAGTAGAGATCCCAGCTTGGGACAGGAGATGCAGAAGAGTGTGTGTAAAAGCTTTCAGAAAGGTGAAGAAATTCCAGGGATGTTGTGTTCAGCTCTCCAGTCTTGGTTGCACCACGCACCGACGAAAAGCCAGGTTAGGAGCCAGTGTGCTGAGCTAGGCCTGCGCCTCGGCAAAGTTCTCTCCCTCCTCGCATTCCAAAGCACTGGCAAGGAGACGAGTGTATTCCCTCATTTTAATCATGGCTGGTTGGTGACTTCATCCAAAGATCAAAGATCAGAAACCTCTAGGCTCCGCTACCATCGTAAGTATACAGTGAACTTGCTTGGCTGGCTGAACAGGCTGGGCCTCTCTACATCCTAGGCCAGGTCTGGCTCACATGGCGCAGCAGTGGGACTGCAGGTGCAGCAATAGGACCCCAGGAGCAGAAAGGACATGCTTGGAGAGAGGAAGCAAAAACATTTTTGCTTTTGAAAAAAAAAATACTCCTTCCTGGCTGGTCTTGAGGGCTCTGGCTGGTGTGGGTGAGAAATTAGGTCTTATATTTTTCTTCTTCTTTTTCTTTTGAAATGAAGTTCCTCCCCTCCAAATAAAGGAAAGAACCAGGATCTCTTCCAAGGAATACTTTTACAAAGTCACAAGAGGGTTTAATAATCAAGTTGTCAAAATATATGAGTGCACATTGTGGCTGTTGTCAAAGTTCCTCCTATTTCTTTTGCTTATATATCTATATCTATATATCTGAAATGATATCCATTATTTCTTGATGACTTCTCTCTACTCTCTTTAAAAAAGCTTATATACACTCTCTAGACATATATTAAACTTTCCCCTGTGCAATTAAACATTCCTGTGGCCGGCCCTTCATCTCCCGCCTTGACACAGTGCCTCCAATAAGGTGCTCTTACATTTTTGCATAGGTATAGGAAAATAACTCTTTAGCAGGGCATTCCAGAATAGGGTAGACACAGAATGCACTTGTTGGCAGGGCTTGCTGACTCAGTCTCTCTCCCAAACCAACCAAACAACCAACTAGCAAGCAAGCAAGCAAGCATCAAGCAGGTTTAGGAAGCTCAAGATATGGAGCCTAATGCAAGTCCCTGCCCTTCTATCTGCCAATATTCCTATACCGAGCATTTTCCTTTGGGTGTTGTGTGTGTTCCCTACTGAGCAAATGCTAGACAAATAGCTCCAAGATTGTGTAAGAAAAATAAAGGCTTGGACCTCCCATTTACCCATAAAACGTTGATATTCTCTAACCCATTTCCCGGACATGCTAAAGCATAAAACCCATTTAAAAAGTGCACTCAGGTCAGAGGTTGGTTTGTATACCAAACGATTTTCTGATTGGATGGGGGCATGTCAGCTGTGCTCTTTTTTGTCTAAACGAACCTGCTGTGGTAGTCTGGAATTTTCTACCTTTTCTGGAATCAGTCAATGGTGGAGTTTTGAGGGAAATACTGATGACCCATTAGCATGATCACAATCATGATGGACAGGCAGTAACAACCAGATTCAGGGTGCAATTTCTATCCCATCACGCAGGGAAGCAACCAGAGCTTTCCCAGACGGCCACAGGGGCCAGTTCCTGACTGAGTCAAGGCAGGCAGAGGATGAGCTGTGCTGCATCTTGGGGAATAGCTTCTTCCACATCCAAGGATTTTGAAGAGCTATTTTCCAACAGTGGCAGCTGGATTTTCCTGAACTCCACTCAGGGTCGGCTAGTCATTTCCTTTGCTGATTGCTTTGAGAGTTTATGCTATCGGGGGCCTTCCAGGCTAATGGTGTTTCTGGGTTTAGTCTGGGGGCCATTCTTAAAAAGAAAACATGTGGAAAAAGTCATAGAAAAGATACCTGGAGTGTTGCACTTGGTTGCAACACATCATGATGTGTACTGCTCCCAGAAGTCAGAGTGGAAAATGGGGAAAAAACTATTAAGTAGCCATCATTCTTTGTACAAGGGCTACTGAATCACATGTAGCTTATGGATTCTTCTTTTTTAAGTGACAAAAACATCTTGGAAATGGTGTAATGCAGAAAGCTTATAAAAAATCTGCTTTCTACTAGGTAAAATGGGCTTTTTTTAGCACAATTACGACAAAAGTTTATATAAGATATGACCTAGATAGACAGCACAAGGTTGACTTGTCTTTTGCAGAAAATAAAGAGTTTCAGCTGCTCTGGTTTGGATTCTCAGTAAGAGCAGTGAGGGTGATGGTTTTCTTGCTTTTTTTGCTCTAATTCCACCAAAGTTCCTGGAAGTGCTTCCCCTGGGCTCCAGGAGTGTGTTTTGTTCCGAAGAAAAAAGCTTTCTCCAGCACTTGCAGCAGGAGGTGAGGTCAGCAGTGGCTCTGGGCACCAGGCCCCCTGCTTGTCTCAGTCGATGAACCTCTGGCAGGCCTTCTTCCAGCGGCAGGCGGTACACCACATGTCTCGATTCTCCATCCCATACACCTTCCGGCACTTCTTGCCCTCGCCCCTGGGCTTCCTGCAAGACAAACAAGGAAGATTTCAGTGAGGGGAGAACTTCCTAGGAGAGTTCTGAGTTCCTTGAAAGGATAAGAGAAACAAGTTGGGAAGTACGAAGGGATTTCAAAAAGTTCGTGGACATAGGCCTAACAGGTACGTTTATTTTGATGCAGCCATTTCTGAAACTGTATTTATGAGTTGTCTTTGATGGAAATGCATGTAATGAAAAGACTATATGATTTTAAAGGTTTATTATTTGAAAGGCAGAGAAAAGATAAGAGGAGAGGAGAGGAGAAATGAGATATCCCCTCTGTTGTTTCACTCCCCAGATGCCTGCAATGGTTAAGGTCTACCAGAAAGCTGGAACCTTAATCCAGGTCTCTCACATAGTGGCAGGAACTCAATACCTTGAATGATCACTACTGGCTTCCTAGAGTCCATACTAGGAGAAAGCTGGACTCAAGTACTCTAGTAATGGGACCTGGGTATCCTAACTCCTAGGCCAAATGCCCACCACTCAAAGCATTTTTTGGGGGTTGGGGCACCAATATAACTTACTCTTTAATTCCATTTTCCAGGAACTTTTTGAAATCCCTTTGTAGGTGCTGCAAGTTTTCACAGCCACTATACTTAGCTGTTCTAATTTGCTATTGTAATCCATACGCTTCTATGTGTCCATCTGTGTGCAGGTCCATCTGGCCATCATCACAAAACTGAATTAAACTAATGAACACAAGAAGTGCCTATAGAGAACAACACTGCTCTTTCAGGTTTTATTTTTAAGGCTTATGTATTTACTTAAGACAGAATGACAGAGAGGTGGAATGTCCATCTTCCAAATACCTGTAACAACCAGCCCTGAGTTAGCTCAAGGTCAGGAACTGCAAACTCCAGCCAGTCTCTTACATGGGTGGCAGCGACTCAACCACCTGAGCCATCCTGCAGCTGCCTACCAAGACTGCGTCAGCAGGAAGCTGGATGACAAGTGGGGAAACCCAGGTTTGAATGAGCTAGGTGCTGTACTACGGAACACTGGAGTCCCAAGCAATGATGTAACTGCTGTATCACTATGCCCACTCCATCTCGAGTATTAAAATGCATATTGTCAAAAGGGCTGTCACACTTGTCAAATCTTTGTTTCTAACTCGTGAACTCCAGGGTGGCAGGTCTTCCTTGATCTGCACTAAACGGTGTGTTTTGCTGGCTCATTTAATATAGTGCAACACGGTTCCTGCTGATTCAATAATCATCATTACCTATTCTGTAAGAAAAATCACTGTTTACCCACCCTCTTCAAATAAGATCTTCATTAATAGGTAATGGATGGGGAAAGCCATGCGATTAGAAGAAAATGTATCCTTAGAATGTTTTGTTGATTGTGGAGGGACTTCACAGACGGTCATATCTGGTTTCTCTTTGCTACCCTCCTGTGAAGTCCCTGGCAGTTAGATCTGTGGCACTTCCAGCAGTCCTACCTTAGGCTGACTGTCCCTCTGGGTGGAGAGGACAGCACTGTGTGGGCATGCTGTCTTTGCTCTCCCGTGCCCACTGGATGAGGATGTGTTGGTGACACCTGGAAAAACACATGGGAAACCAAGTTGATGGGTCAAGTTCTGCATTCCACACATTTAGTTAGCCTTTGTTCCAGTGATCCTGGGCCACTAGACACAGAGATAAAATGCTTCCTGGAGACAATGTGTTAGGACGGATGGAAGGGATGACAGATTCTAAAAGGCATCCTCAGACTGAAAAGATTCAACAATTCACATCTGATAAAATCTATATGGCATCAAATCAATGCATTCCAAGTTGCACATCATGATGTATTTTTATCTGGATAAAATTTAAACCTTAAAATGTATTCCCATCTATTTAATTCTCAAGCAACCTATCAAGTATGACAAGCCTTATAGTCTTTTTTTTGAAGATGGAAAATATCTTGAGGTTAAGATATTTATCTGTGATTACACAGGCATTCAATGGCAGTTATACAACATGGATTCTAGTGGAAGACATCTTCCATGACAGACCGGGTGCCAACCACATGGTGTTTCCTGGGTACTTACCATGTGCCAGGTACATTGGCAACAGCTTTACTTTTTATAATCACTATATAGGACACTACTACTATTATTCCCATTGTAGAGATATGGAAGCCAAGACATAGGGAGGCAAAGTGATTTGCCCAAGTCACGCAATATGTTCTGGCCGAGCTCTCTAATATCAGAGTATGTGTTTAACTTCCTTCTAATTTAGTCTCTCATTGGTAATCTAGGTGCCTTCAATTGTCCTCAGAAAATCCCTTCAAATCACCTATTCTTACCATAAAAAATATCTTCCCAGTCCCCGTGATTCCCAGATGGAAAAACCTACTTTTTACAGCAAAAGAGAAATGATGTATCAAGTGGACAGTATTGGCATATATAAAGGAGAAACAATAAACTTCAAAAGTGAATTCCTTAGAAGCTAATGTGGCCACAGACTCCCACTGCCAGTGTCAGTCATGGGAACATTTTTTTTCCGTTATGGGAGCATTTTTAAGGCATACATTTAGGGCTCATTTTTCTCAGCACAGGTACTAGGACTTCTGTTTTCAAGGTCAAAGAAGGTATATTTTTGCAGACCTTAAGTTTTTGTTTTTTCAATTATACAGGTAGATGAAAAGCTAACACTCTACACTACTGTAGTCATTAGTATGAATTCCTGTGGATTTTTTTTTTGTTGTAATTTTAGGTGGATGGGAGGCCAGCAGAGGTAACATACATCAATTTTTAAAAATGAAAGCTTTGGTGAATGAACATGTAGGTCCTTGCAAAAGCAGAACATCCCCCACTTGGTTTAGTACAGGATGCACAACTGCAAACCAGAGGGAGTAAACACATGACATCCTGACCCACAGGGAATGATCTAGTGTACGCTCGTAAGAATTGTTTCAAATGGTCAGGACACCAAATGTAAAAATGTAGAAATTGCCACAGACCTTGCAGAATTCCAAGAACAACTGCCTCGTATAGTTGGAGATCTACAGTTTAGTTGACATGAAGCTACTATATGATCAGCCAGGGATTGGGCAGAAGGTTCTAAATTTTGAAAAGATATTACAAGCCCTTTGGCATGAGCTGGTGCGAGATTGTCAGAATTCTTGATTCAGCAAATATTAAGCGCTGAAGGGGCACCAGGCACTGCTCTAGATCCTGTAGCCACAACGAACAAAGCAGTCTCTGCTCTTCTATTCTAGCAGGAACAGCAGAAATGAAAAAGCAAAATTATTTTAGTGATGTAAAGAAAACTGAATAGTGTTAACTAGCTATCACCAAGACGGAAACCATGTGTTAGCTGCTTATTTAGGAGGATAAGAGAAGGTTATGTTTTATCTACTGGGCACTCAAAGAAGGGGATGGCCATGCCAGAGACCTTCACATGTGCAGTGTCCTAGAGGGGCTGGAGAGCGCCTGGAGGTTAGGCAGGTGGGAGAAGAGGGCATGGCAGATCTGGCTCCTGCTTCTGCTGCAATTGGAGGTGAAGTGTTATTCTAAGAGGAGTGAACCAGAAGATAGATTTATCTCTCCTTTTGTCTGTGTAACTGTGTCTTTCGCAAAGAAAATACCACTTTAGCACTTGGGGAATGGACAGGAGAGTTGGAAGAGGAGCCTAAAGATGGGTTGAGGAGGGATTTGCTGTGTTTCAGGGGCTGGAGGGGAGACAGTGTGAATGGGAAGGGTTAGATTCCTGTCTGTCAAAGGTTCAGCCAAGATCTGCAATTGATGGGATGTGGGGACCAGGAAGATGAAGATGGATCCTCAGAGGCACTGAGATGGGTCCCCGATAGAGCCCAGGTTCTGATTCCGAGTACAGAGTACTCCCATTGTTTGGGCATCAGTATGTCCAAGTTAGCAAGAACAGTAGGTTCTCCCTATGTTAGCCACATGCCAGGCACTGTGCAAACAGCACAGCTCCACCAAGGCGGTGCCAGAGAAGAAGGCATTGCTTGGGAAAGACCACAGCGCTGGCTAGGGCTCACTGCTTATCATTGGCAGAGGCAGCAGTTACAGCTGTCCCTTTCATAGCTGTGCTGGCTGCACACTTTTTTGGTTATGAGTTTTACACTTTTCAGATGAAACAGAAAAGACCGCTGCCTTAGTTTTTCACCTCTTGTAACACAGTCTCCTGAACCCTTCTGCAGGTTTTAAAAAACGACAATAATCAAACCAGCTAAGCACCTTACAGTGAAGCACTGCCACATTGCCTTTGGAGATCCTTTGCCACAAGCCTGAGCCTCCTGCAAGTGCCCTCCAATGGCAGGCTGAAGAGGCTCTCCTTGCTAGGCGCAGTTACAGAAGTGCTTGGAGACTCCACCCCCGCACACCCACCCCCAGGTCAGAGGTCAGCACACTAACCTTTGGGCTGCCAGTACTCAGAGACAGAGCCTTTAGAAAAGAAAGTGAAGTTCAATAATGCCTTAGGGTGGAGCCCTGAGACAGGTTAGAGGGCAGGCACGTACATGCCACCTGTCCCCTCCCTCCGTCTCTCAGTAGTGTGCCCATACTGAGAAAGGCGGTCCCCCACGAACCAGGCCAGCTTTCACGTCAGGAGAAACGGAATCGGCCTACACTCAACCTTGGAATTCTACCCTTTAAAACCATGAGAAAATACATTTTAGTCATTGAAGGCACCCAGTGCATGAGCTAACAGCTAGAGCTAACAGAGGAACCAAGAGTTCTCGGGCTTCCTTGGGAAAAGACAGAAAAAGCAATGGTGATAATTAGAAGAAAAGGCACAGCCATTAGGGGAAAACAGGTGGAGGAAAGCTGTAATTAATGAAGGGCTCCTCTCCCTTCCCCCACACACTCTGCACTGCCTTAGGCTAGAGAAGACTCAACTTTCAGTTTCATTTGTAAAAATGCAGATCAGCTTTCTCAGCTACTTCCCTCCGGAAAGGGGTCTCACCCAGGGAACTTATTAAGGCCCAATATTCAGGAAATGTAGCAGAGGCCAATGAATAAATAAAATCCTGCAAACTTGGGGATTTTTCAGAAGGAGGTTTTTTCTATTCTCTTGGAAGTGAACAAAAGCTTCTCTTCAATTCCAAGTCTCAAACACGTGGGACAAAGGGAAAACCTAAACGGAATGGGTAATCTCAGGGTATTAGGTATCTGTTTCAGAGTACAAATAGAAAGTTTTTTTCTTTTTCTTTTTCTTTTTTTTGATTAAAGTTCTTTATAAAATGAAAACCTTAGCTTGAGCATAGTGGAAGCCATCATTAATATTCATTCATTATAACGTAGAGTTTCTGTCTGAAAGCTGTGACACCAATTTGGAAGGTGGGAAACTACATGTTCTTAGATTCCATTTGGCTCTCAACTTCCAGGGACTAGGACTAGCACTTCCTGGAGAGTTTGGGGACAGTTCTTGACACCCATTCAGTGCACAGGTGACAGGCTTGCAACCTATGTGATGGAGCCAGCCCACTGATAGTGAATGAAGCAAGCTCCCACTTAAACGGAATGAAAACTTAGTGACGAAGAGCATTCTTGGTGTTACGTTCTTGTCTTTCCAGAAAACAGAAGCCTTTGCAAATACTTCCCTCCAAGCTCGTTTTTGTCTCTATAACTATTTTAACAGTCAAGTTATAACTATAAAGTTTTGGTTGAAAATGATCAAGCAGTATTCTTTTGTGAAAGAATAAATTCAAACTGATATAGGATTTGCAGGAGATACATGGTTCATCTAGCCACTTCCTCTGTCTGAGCTGCTGTCTGGAATAGCCCTGGTAAGAAGTGCCTGGTGAAATGAGGGACTTAGAAAACAAATCCACTAAGTAGAGGACAGAGAGATGCATGGAGCCTATAGCTGAGAATAATTCTGATATTTTATTGTTGGAAAAGAAACATAACTTGGCTGGGTGCAACATATAAGAACCATGGAGGACGGGCAGCTGGGTATAAAAGCACCCAGAGAGATTTCTCTACATCACCCTTCAGAAGGAGAGTCAGTTAAGAAAGCAAAAGGGGAAAAATTCCATTTGGACTAGTCATAGTGATAACTGGAACAGATTTTTATCAACCACTTACTGATTCATTGGAAATGCAGAGGGAGAGATGGAGACAAACAGATTCCATTTTGGGGGCTCACTCCCCCAATACCAGCAATGGCTGGGGCTGGGTCATGACAAAGTCAGGAGCCTGGAACTCTGCTCTGGGTCTCCTGTGCGGGTGAAAGGAGCGAGCCATCCCTACTAAATCCATCATTTGCTGCCTTCTAGGTATGCATTTGCAGGTAGCTGAGTCAGAAGCGGGGCAGGGACTCAAACTTAGGCACTCTGATATGTGATGCTTCAAGCAACATCTTACTATTGCACCAAATACTCATACCTGAAAAGACGTTTGAATGGGAATTTCTGTCTATACTTGGTTTTGTACCTAGTAAACAATATGGTGTGTGTGCTCTTGAAAATTCTTCCTTACTCAAAGGTAGGAATTAACAGACCTCAGACAGCAGGTCTCTGTAATTCTGTAATTGTAGCTGTCATTCTAGGTCAACATAGAAGGGCTGTCTCACTGGTGACTGCTGAGAGTCACTCTGGGTCTTCTCATGTCACCGAGTAAGGTTCTCCAAAGGACAGATTATTAACCTCTGACACCCACATCGGGGGAACAATGTTCTAGCCAGATGCAAAACCAATACCTATATGTCTCAGCTGCTCTCTTCCAATGTCTACTAACAAGGTCACTCTCTCTGACCTGCCAGCAGTATTACCATGCAATCAAACAGGCAACTTTATAATTACTCCAGATCTGTGGTACAGTTTAAAATCCATATTACAGGAATATTTTCTAGAAGCCACCATTTTACCAAATTGCTGCCAGCAGGTTTTTTTAAATTGCTGGCTAGTCTTCTGTGGAATTTAATACGTGTTCATTGTTAGAGCACAACATAATTCATTCAGCCATTTTCATTTTTATCAGTTCCACAGGAGGTTTTAGACTTTGCTGAAAACCTCTAGGAGTTGCCAGTGGTTGACGATAAAAAGTTTTTATGAGATTCTTGGGGAGAGGGCTGCAGAAGAAAAAATAAGGTTAATAGCTGTTATCATAAGCCACTGTCAGAGCCTCACTGGAGCTGTGTGCCACCGTAAGCATCACAGTTCAAAAGGCTGTGACTACGCCGGGAGAGGCTCTAGAGTCCAATGTACTTTGGGTGTATGGTTAGGAATCTGGTCAATTCAAGATGTCTGATCAGTCAACAGCCACCTAGTATGTCAAATTAACTTTAACATATCACTTAAATGACTGTATGTATTGGTGCTCATTTATTACCAAATGATCCATCAGTGTGGCTTCTTGAAATTTGCAGGAAAATGATGGTTTCAGTTGTTTTAAACCCTCACAATGACCGACATGCAAAACAATTTCAAAGCAATAAATATTTTAAATTAGAGCGATCAACACCTTCGTCCTCACACAAGCCCTGAACTGCACTCTTTATTCTACAGTGTTTTAGAAACAGGAACACACCATCCATACAAACAATCCTGGTGTGTGTTTCCAACAAGTTACAGAGACACAGATGAAACTCTTCTAGTCTCAAACTCTAGTCCAAACACCTTTTCACAGAGAAGTTGGGCATTTGGACTGTGAGATAATCTGCTAGGGAGGGTACAGACATCATCCATGAAATATGAGGGATCTTCAGAAAGTTCTGTAAAATACCTGTGATGAAAAACCAGGCATGGATCTCAACAATTTTCGCACTAAATTTATCCTTGAATTCCACTTTTGACAAATAGAAGTCCCCTCATAACAGTGCCTGGCATTTGATTTTTTTATTTGCATGTTTCTAGTATTTGTTCTCTAGATTCATATGTGTCTTTTAGCAGATTATGGCTGTTGAGTTTTTCTACTTACTGGAATGCCTGTAAAAGTGACAGGAGGAGACTGCCAAGAAATGCTGAAGCTGCTGCCATTGGGGGTGAACTTGGCCGACCCTGGAATAGTCACGGGGGGTGTGGCCTGTTGAACAGAGAACAGAGAAAGTTGTTAGGAAAGTTTTTCCTCAGAGGCTGAAGCTTTTAACAGGCAAGGTCTAGCCACATTAGTAATTTAGACTATCTAACAGGAGGAGATTGTTGGGGCACGGGGAGTAGGCAGAACTAAGCTTTTTATGTATACTTGTGTAACCTAATTTTTAAAAAAAGATTTATTTTTATTGGAAAGGCAGATATACAGAGAGGATAGTCAGAGAGGAAGATCTTCTGTCTGATGGTTCACTCTCCAAGTGACTGCAACAGCTGGAGCGGAGCCAGTCGGAAGCCAGGAGCCTCTTCCGGGTCTCCCACGCGGGTGCACGGTCCCAAGGCTTTGGGCCATCTTGACTGCTTTCCCAGGCCACAGGCAGGGAACTGGATGGAAAGCAGGGCTGCTGGGATTAGAACCGGCACCCATATGAGATCCTGGCACGTTCAAGGCAAGGACTTTAACCACTATGCTATCACACAAGGCCCTGTGTAACCTAATTTATAAAAGGAAATGTGTTTGATGGTTGAATTCTGAAAAAGTTTCCTTATATAGTCGCATGAAGGTACTGTAAACAGCTCATGGAAAATAACATATGTTGCACTGCAGAAAAAAATTTTAAATCCATGCATATAAGTGGCCTCTAAAAATTCTTAAAAATGCGTATTATGAAAACCTGCATGAATTCTTTTTTTGCACCAAATACACTTTAAATTTCATTTCTATGAACTCAAGTATCTATTTTAGGATCTCTGTGAGACAGAATTCCTCATTAACAAATTGAGAAATACATATTTTTATACAATGATAGTGGGTGTTTACATTGGTACAATTTGTGAAATTAATATTGTAAATACATCAACATTTTTATTCTGGGTATTAGCTACTCTTGTTGGAATTCACTGTATGGAAATTTATGCAAGGATGTTCGTTTCAGGATCAGATGTCTGTGTGTGTGTATTCGTGAGTGTGTATAAAACATGAATGTCCAGTAACAGGGAAATAAAGAAATCATATTTTCACAAAGCCACTAAACACTGCGGGTGAAGAAGACTCAATAGCATGTGAAAATGTTCACAATGTATAAAGTAGAAAAAACAAAATAAAAACAGTACAACAATGTACCCCTTAAAATATGTGCATATACATAGCACAAAGTCTTGAAGGATACACCACACAAAAATTTAATCAAAGCTCTCTCAGGTCACTGGGGCTGGGGATGAATTTTATTTATTGGCTATGGTTTTATATTTGCTATACTAAAAACTTACAGTATCTAGCCACAGAAAAGCCCCAATATTATGAACAAAGGCTTTGGAAAGCACTTCCTACACCACTAGGGTATGTGTTAATTCTTGCATTACTTAAACACACAAAATGATTTCATTAAGTTGGTTCAAGCCATGATTTATTCTTTTTACTGATGCATAAAAATTTACATATTTTTGGGCACCATATGATGTTTCTGTATAAGCTCTATGCATGTATAGACTTGTGTAATTACAAATCAGGGTAATTATATCTCTCTCTCCAAATATTTAACTTTTTGTTAAGGTGAAAATATTTCAAATCCTATCTTTCAGATATTTTTAAAGATTTATTTATATAGTACATTATCTAGAGTAACACTACTGTGCAACAGAATCCCCAGAATTATCTAGAAAAAATCTAAACTTCTGATGTGAAACTTCTATCAGCTGTTTTTTTGTGTGTGTTTAAGTTTGATTTATATGACTAATCTGCAATGTAGTGGTTTTTTTTTTTTTTTTAAATTTCTGGGATAGACGGGGAGGTAAAGGGAGAAGCCCCACCCAGTCTCCAAACCATCCCAGGTCCCTGATGTGGGGCATGCTCCGAGGGTCTTGCTCAAGTGATTTTGGTAGTTCAACAGTTATGAATTGCTGCTAATATTGCCATTCCAGGCACGAAGAAATTGCTGCAGAATCCACTGGTTGACTAGTCCATCTTAGAGTCTCCATTTGCCCTGTTTTTCACTGCCAACATATAGCTGGGGTAGTTGATTTGTCCTGTCCTCTGTATTTTCATGGTTAGGGATCTGAGTCCGGCAGTTCAATTGAGGGGTTCCCTAAGTAAACTTTGTCTGAGGTAAACCCAGTCCAAGTTCTGTGTGCACTTGCAAGTACAGGGCCCGGCACAGTCCATCGCCCCAATCAGCTGGTGGTTGCAATTGCTGGGTTGGTTCTGTTTCCAGCCCTGTCTTGCACTGGAACCAATGGGTGTTGCAGTCCAGCCTGATTCTGCCCAGCACACACTGGGCCCTCATATAAACCGGTGGGAGCTGCAGCCTAGTCGGGACGACCCATAATAACCCCCACCAGGCTCGCCCCCTATTCTGATTCCTGTGCTTGTCATTATATACCACAGACTTGTTCAGTCAGTCACACGTCCCTTTCAGGTCTCATATATGTCAATGGGCATTGAAGCTTAGTTCAACCCAACTACCTCCACTATCAACGCTGCACACATGCTGCTGGGTGCCCTTCTGTCTAACCACCCCTGCCCCGTCCTGGTTTTCATGCCCTCCCATGGGCAGTGGTAACCCAAGAAGTAGGTGCCCACTATTTCCCTTCTAGGCCACTCCCACTCCCATATTATGCACTCTCCAGGTGGTTCTGCAGTTTAACTTGACAGAATTAGGCCCCAATGCCTAATCAGCCCAGCCTGGCTTTTCCCTGATCTAGTCCACATGAGGCGCACAGTCGTAGCCCTGCCTAGTCTGGTCTGCCTCCATCCCAGCTCACACTCTCCAGTTGGAGCAGCTATCCAGCATGGGAGTCCCCCATATTCCCCTGTCGGCTCCACCCCCTCCCTTCCTGGTTCTCATGTGTGCTGGTTGGGTGCTGTTGTCACATCCGGTACAGGTAACCTCACATTGGCATTCCATAATGTGCACTGGTATGTGTTGTGACCAAACCTGGCTCGACCCACACTCTGTTCTGGTGCTCAGATTTGCTAGCGGTTTATGTGAACTGGTTCAGTCTGGTCTGTCCCCGAACCATGCCAAACGTATGCCAGCAGGACACTTTCCATGGCTTGTTCTGGGCTGTTTCCTATCATGCTTCTTGTGCTCACCTGCAGGGACTACGTCTTGAAAGAGGAGTTTCCCAAGCTCCTCCATCAGAACCTCTCCCAATGCCAGAATTCGCGCATACCAGAGGGTCCATGAGTCAGCCTACTCAGTTCACCTCCTGTCCTAGTAGGAACAGTGGCCTTTCCTGACTGGCCTTTAACCCATTCTGGTTCTTGCTGTTGGGTGTTTCAGCCCAGCTATGGCTCGTCCATACCCTCATAAAGCTTACACATGGCTTAGTAGGGGTTGAGACCTAGCCTAGTCCATCCCACATCTATCCTGGTCCTCCAGAGCACCAGATGGTGTTTGAATCTGGCCCAGCTTGGTCTGTCCAATCCCAGTCTACACTTGTGCTAAACGAGACTACAATCATTTCATGATCAGAATGCAGCCCCCATTCCAGCCCCTGCGCTCCTTGGTGGGAACCTCAACCCAGGTAAGGTGTCCCCTTAGCTCTCCAACCAGGCCTGTTCTCAGCCATAGATCACGTGCATGCCAGTGGTTGCTGACTCAGCTTGGCTCAGCCCCTCACCTGTCCTGGCCCCTGCCTTAGATGCTGTGGCTTAGCGTCCCTGACTCATGCAGACCAGTAGGTGCAAGAGCCTAGCTCAGTATGACCTGCATTCCATCCCGATTTCTAATTTTGCTTGTGAGCTAAGGTCTGCTCAGTCCTGCACAGTACACCCTGTTCCATTACCAATTCACACATTATCCAGCTGTTGCAGCTACTTTGCCCATTCCGACCCCCAGGTCTGGACCATGTGTTCACCAGTGGGAACTATGACCCACCAGGGGAGTTTTCCAACTTCCTCCACTTGACCAACTCCCAGACCCAGTTCTCATACATGCCATTGGGTTTTAGGCCTGTGCCCAGCACAGTGTGGCCTTCCATTTGCCCTTCTATAAGCTGGTAAACTTTGCTGCCGAGCCCACCTCACACCCTATTCAGGATGCACATTTGGGTGCTGCTGCCTTGACCAGTCCAGACTGTTGGGGGTTCCTTTACCGGTGAGTGATGGCAGGCTCTTTGGTAGCACCTAGCTTAGTCCATCACCACCCCAACTCTTGAGCTAACCAGTGGGGCTAGTATTTCCACAGGTTTTGGCCCACACATTCCCCACAGAATCTACTCCCGGATATAGTTCTCTCATGTGCTAGTTAATGTCATGTCCTGTTTAATGTGACCCATCTCCTGATCCATCATCATGTCAGATAATAGGATATGATCCTGCTAGACAAGTCCCAAGCCTTAGCTTTTACATGGACTGGTGCTCGGTGGTCAGCATTGTTCTGTGATTACCAGTTCTACACAGGATTTAAAGGAGTTCGGTATATCAGTCTTATCCATAAAGATCAGCTGCTCCCTCTCCTCCAACCTACCAGGTCCTATTACCCTTGCTTACCTTCAAAGGAAAACTTACTCTGTCATTGGGAATCTTTAGGATTGATTCACATCCCAGAAGCACAGTGGGCTCAACATGGAGCTACCATAAGGGAGCAGCTTTGGAGCCCAAGCAGGCCTAGGGACAGCTCACCACATGTACGTGGTAGCTGGAATCAGGGCTCTGAGCATGGAGACGTCCCCAGCCTGGCACCCACCAGGAGCCAGCAGGCTGCTGGAAGTCCATCAGCTATAAATTAGTAGGTGTTCTTTAACCTTTCCCCAGTCCCTTATCCCAAAACATCCCTAGCTTCTATTAACCACTGTTCTACTCTTAGCTTCAAGGAGATCAACTTCTTTGTACTCCATATGTGACTCAGATCATGTACTTTTGCCTTCCTGGTGTTAAGTCCACAATTTCTAAATGCAGTACCGGCAAACAAGAAAATGAATGGATGATTCTTTGTTTTTTGTTTTTTTTTTTTTTGACAAACATGAATCAGGAATCAAATAGATTGCATCCACTAATTTCATCTTTAGTTCTATTCCTTTTGAGTTTAAATCAGCTGAATAAGTTGCAAAATTCTCTTTAGATTATAATTTTTCTAAGTTGAATAAGGCAATTGAGAATTATACTTAAATCTGAAATTGTGTGTGTGTGTGTGTATATATATATATACCTAAATCTGAAAGTGTTGACATTAGATTACAAACAAATCGACATTTTAGAGTTGATACTGTTTTTTTTTTGAGGGGTGGGAGCAGGGGGAGCTTTAACCACATTTTGCATTTGCAGGGCTGTCTCCAAGGGTTCACTGAACTTTGGCCTGAACCAGTACCCTAGATGTGTGTGTGTGTCGGGGGGTTACAAACACAAACAGTTACAACAAACACTGCTGAGTTCTCCCCCAGATCTGACTCACTAGGTCTGGGGAGAAGAATGTCTATTTTCACGCTGACAATAGATTTGGGAAACATGGAAAACCACTGCTCAAATCGGAATGTCTAACCACCCAGGTAGAAGGCAGGGCAAGGAATCCATTCCAGATTTGGGGTACAGGGTGGTTCTGGTACTGTTCCCAAGCTTTTTAATGCTCTCCTTTTCATTTTTTTAATTTAACAAATATTTAAGCTGTTTATCAGACACCATTCTGAGGGCCTTCCCATATTAATGATTTGGATTCTCAAAGGGATGGGATCTTCAGTTGGCACTGAGGAGACCAAGAATAATCATTGGGATTCCCCTTGTTGTGATCCTGGTTTTTGAAGGAGAAAGAAAGAAAACAACGTTAGCTACTGGGCTGCAGTGTGTGATGTTGCTTCCCTGCTGACATTCACTCCTACGCCAGGTCACTACTGCCTTTGGAGAGGGGTAAAGTGGCTATTCTTCTAGTTCTGGTCGGGTGCACATCACCTGGTAAGCATGGTCGGCATGCACGAGGTAGAGGGTGGTAGGAGCTGAGCGGCTCAGGGGTGTCATCAGTTTAGCGTCTGTTTTGGCACAAGGAGTGTCTGTTCGGCTTGACTCTGGGATGGGGTATGTAGGAGGTGAAGCCAAGGATTGGGAGGGTGAAACCGGGGCCGGGCTGCCGAGTCCATCTGCCACAGAATCCGTGTTGAGCTTGATCTCAGTGTAGTAGAAGTCCTCTTCGCCATCACTGTAGTCAGAATCCCCAACACGCCTAAAGCAAAACAGCAAAACCACCATTCTCAGTCAGTCTGCTCTCTGGCCTTGCATCCCCACACGTGCTCCTTCCTCACTTTTGTCTGTGTGGTAAATCTTTGCTCACCCAGCAACACCCCACTCAAGGGAAGTTTGCCTTGACTTCTGCTGGGTTTAAATATGTCTTCTGAAGTTCCAAGTGAGGGAAGTGTAATCTTGTAACTTCTATGGTAACAGTACTAAGAGGTGGGGCCTCTGAGAAGTAGTTAGGAGTAGATGAAGTCATGAGGGCAGGACTCCATGGTGGCTTTAGTGGCATTCTAAGAAGAAAAAAGAGGCCCAGTGCAATGATTCAATTGGCTATTCCTCCATCTGCCAAGTGCCAGCATCCCATATGGATGCTGGTTTGTAACCCGGCTGCTCTACTTCCCATCCAGCTCTCTGCTTGTGGCCTTGGAAATCTGTCAAGAACGACCCAAAGCCTTGGGATCCTGCACTCATATGGGGGACCTGGAAGAAGCTCCTGGCTTCAGATCAACTCAGTTCTGGCCATTGTGGTCACTTGGGGAATGAACCAGCAAATTGATGGTCTTTCTATATCTCCTTTTCTCTATAGATCTGCCTTCCCAATAAAAAAATATATATTAAAAAGAAGAAGTAAAACAGAGACCTGAGAAGGCAGCTTGCTGTGTCTCGCCATGTGATGTGTCACGCTGTGCTAGGCTGCAGCAAGAAAGCCCTTATGCTCTTGGGCTTTCCAGACTCCAGAGCTGTGAGTTAAATTAACGTCCATTCTCTGTGTATGAGCCAGCCACAGGTATGTTTGTTAGCAACAGAGAATGGAGTGAGACAAGCTGTTGAAGCAACCTGTTCATTCGATCAGGTTTCCCACAACAATGTATTGAGAATTGCTTATGTCCAGGCACTGTCCTAGGGTCTCCAGGCATTAAAAGTGAACAAAATACAGACCTGGCTGTGACACAACTTGCAGTGTAGGGTCAGGGAGGTCAACAAGAACCAGCCCATTTGTTGTCTGCCATGGGATCATCTTGTCAATTGCTGATGCACAGAAGAAAGCAAAATTAAGCAGCACAGAGTGCCCTTGGGCATGACTGGGGCAGCAGGTTGGAGGAGGGGGCACTATTTGAAACAGAGTGTAGAAAGGAAGCTTTTAGGAGAAGGAGGCAAGGAAGAAAGCATGCTGGAATCTGTTGGGGCCCACACTGGAACCCATGGCAGCACATGTCAGAGAAGGGTGACAAAGACCTGGCATTTTCCAGGAAGTGCAGGGAAGCCAGTGGCTGGGACTCAAGACACATAGGATGCATGAGCAAGGGGTGGGAACCAAGGCAGGGATAAGGTTGCGAAGCTGGGAGGCCATGAGAATGGCTGTGACTTCTGTCTTCAACGTGATGGTCAACAGGGCTGGGGAGATGGAGAGATGGAATGTCTACGTAACTGGATCACAGAGGAGCAGGAGCAAGAGGCTGTTGTCATGAAAAATCCAGGGGCGTGTGCACACTGGCTGGGTAAGGGGTACAGTAGTAGAAGTGACAACAAGTCAAAATGAAGGTGTAGATTGAAGGTGAGTTCAGGTGTGACTCCTCATAGTGAGTTCTCTGTGTTCCCTTTGAGTGGTATTCATCCCTTTGGTCAATGACCAGGCCACACTGATTTGTCCCCTTGTTGTGACTTTCTGATTCTACAGGGCTATGTCTTCCTATTTGTATCACTCCACATGTATCAGCATATTTGGCATACAGTGGGTACCTACTAAATATGGAGTGAGTGAAGGAAGTTGAGGTTGTAGCATAGCAAATGAGAGCCTAGGTCTGGAGATAACTTTTATTGTTCAGGTTCAAATCTTGACTTTGACCTTTTGGCTGTGGGTGTGACTCTAGCAGCCTACACTAGCTCCTGCTTCTCTGTAATGCAGGGGAAATTACAGGGTACCTGCTATTGTGAGGATTAACACATAAATACTGAGCTTAGAGGTATACCTGCCAGGCAGTAAGCACTAGGCAGGTGCTTATTAGACAAAAAGGTCTATATAGATGGTTTCACTTTCTACAGTCAACTGGAAGTGCATCTTCTTGGGTGCTCTCAAAGTTCTTTGTGAAATTGGAACACTATACCTTCCTGTCTCTTACCTCAGGAAACAGTTACTAGACTTGCCAATTTCTTTCCTTTTTTTCTTTTGGAAAAGATTTACTTATTTGAAAAATGAGTTATATATATAGAGAGAGATACTGGTCTTCCATCTGCTGATTTATTCCTCAAAGGGCTGCAATGGCAAGAGATGGGCCAGGCCAAAACCCGTGAGCCAGGAGGTTCATGCAAGTCTCCCACATGGAAGCAGGGTCCAAGCACTTGGGCTACCTTCGACTTCTTTCCTAGGTGCATTAGTAGGGGTCTCAACTGGAAGTGGAGCAACCAGGACTTGAATGGGATGCTGGTGTCACAAGTGGCAGCTTAATCCGACATGCAACAATCCTGGTCCCAGATTTGTCTACATTTAGAGAAGTGGTAAACATCTGGCAGCCTGGGATGACCCAGCAGAAGCCACAAGCATCTCCTCATTTCATGGGCATATCCAGCAACTGCCATCTCCCTGACTCAGAACAAACATTTTCCTCCCTAATAATCCTTACATGGAACTTAAAATAGCCATGCATCTACTTCCATGCCTTGCCAGTCCTTTCCGTTTGGCCAAGTAGAGGACTTCTCCCAGCCTGGATCCATTTCCTCTGAGCTTCCAGCTGAGGAGTCTGGGAAGCCATCCTTACCCCAGATCAGGTCTGGCTGAGTGTGACACTGTGACCAACATACCATTAAAGACTCTAGAGAATGGAATGAAGAGTGTCTGCACCATCCACTTCCTCTGCAGTCAAAGGCAGACTGTGTTGCTGCTGGCTGCCCAGTGCTACAGACAGATGCAGGCTTGCAGTAAACTGGGTGCCCTGCATGGGATGTATTAGGTCCAGCTCTCTATGTACTACAAGAAGGACATGACATTCAAGATCAAAATGGTATTCTTCCTCTATTAGCATGGTGCAGACACTGGAGCTATGTCGATGCAAGACAGACTTTCTTAGGGCGCTGATATGCGTCCTTTCCTCCTGTCTACTCCCAGCCAATATGTGGCTGCTCGTCCTCTAGCCACATCACAGAGCTCCTGGATGAAGGCAAAGGCACGTGATCTCTCCCAGCCCATGAGAGAACAGAGGCCCCTCGCTTCCCAAGCACAGCTTGTCCTTGGAGCCCAGCGAAAACCCATACCCGAGTGATGGCTGGCAGAACTGAGAACCTTAACTCACCAAGGTAACTGGAAATGCACATCAGTGCCAGGGGGACCTTAGGGAAACGAGGGAAGTGACCGCATTTTGGATTCTATCCATCGCAAGAACATCCCGGGAGCTCAGAAGAAAACTGTGTGATGCCACTTCCAGTCTATAAAAATATCTCTACCGCATGTGCCTCTGAGGGTGGCCAAACAGGATTCAATTTCCTAGGCAGACAGACTTTAAACAAATACCCTACCTTCTGGCGATAGCTTTTGAAAAGTAGTTTCTACACCTTTAAATAACTCGCAGCCGTTTATACTGTGAGTTGGCCAGACAATGAGATTTGAGGGGGGACACTGCGAAATTTCCTTTGCTGAAAGCACTGTGCCTCTCAGAGTTTCAACTTGGCATTTCTTAGACATGGAGCTGAACCTGCTGGAACATTCTGGCTACCATACTCTGGAAGGTTCTGAATGGTTCAGCCTGAATGGAATGGATGGAGAATTAGGGTTAGAGTCCTGTTGTTCTCCACAGACCTGGAGGGAGCCGGCCCTCCCAGATGAGCTCTCACAGCTCAGGTGTACTCTCTGCCTCCAGCATGTTTCATGGATGATGCACTGCCCAAATTTATTCCTGAATGGGTCAAATGGCTGTTGCATTTACTTTTCCACACTAATCTTATGAAAGAACTTCTCTGTGTCCAGGCATATGGGGCAGGGATGTGGGTTTGTGTTGGCCATATGCACACACTGGCTGTGACTTATAACTTCTCACCATCCCTTCCTGGCCCAGGTCTCTGACAAGGCAGACTCAGGACAGAAGTCCAGACTGCCGAACCACCACTGCCACCTGGGGTGACCCCCACCTGGTGACTCTCAAAGGGCTCATTTTATCTTCTTATAGAGAGGCTGTTAGAGAAAATGAGGAAAAGTGTAGATTTGTACAAATAAAGAGCTGACTGGAGAGATGGAAAGGTGGAGGGCCAATCATCAGGCAGCCTAAGGGCTACAGTAGCGCTAATGGTGGGCTGTGATCACACACATTTTCAGATATATATGCTTTGGAGATTCAAAGCGTTAACTCCTCTCCACCGGAACATATTAATGCATGTTTCTTCTAACACACAATTTGAAGGAGTTCAGAAACCCCCTAGGATCCCAGTTAGAGCTTAGGAACCGTTACCTTCATACTTTACAAACCTCTCACACACACCTTTGACTTTTGACCCTCACACATGAACCCACAGAGCTGACATGACTGTTCATTTTTCAGAGGGTTCTGGAGCCAGAGTAGTGATGTGCTTAATGAGACTCAGTACAGGTGAGCTGGCTCCTCATTCATCCCACAGTGCCACACTGGCCTACATTCTCCGCAGGGGCCATCTCTCTATGGACTATGAAGATGCACCTAGCCTGGAGGGCAGGCCTGTCCGGCACAGTGCACAGGTGGGCCCTGGCGGCACTGACAGAGGCTCTGTCAAGCTCTCCAGCGAAGGTTGCCTTACCCAAGGTGAATGGTCCGGATGTGTTTCTGGATGCCTGCCGCCGTGCTCAGCACCTTCCCACAGTTTTTCCAGAGGCATTTGAACATCACTTTCATGGAGTTCTAGAAAGTGAACAGACACTTAAGTTAACAGGAAAGCCAATCCAGCAAGACTTTTTTTCCTGCCATACCAATATATTTCTTTCCTTTTAGTAGAAGATTAAGGGCTTCCCAGCCTCTTGATTAGAACATGACAGTCTAGAAGCCCTCATGCTTGTGAGTATGTGATGAGTTTAGAGATTGTCCCACATCGCTCATGAAAATGGTACTTGCTGGAATACTTCATATCATGCTCATGAAGCTGGTCATGGTGGTGATTAAAAAAAAAGACATTTTATTCATTTGAAAGAGAGAATTTTTTATTTTCTGGTTTACTCTCCAAGTGGCCACAATAGTTGAACCTGGTCCAGGTTGAAGCCAGGTGCCAGGAACAAAGGTGGTAGAGGCCCAAGTCACCTTCTATTGCTTTCCTAGGTACATCAACAGGTAGCTCGATCAGAAGTGGTGCAACTGGGACACAACTGGTGCTCCTGTGGGATGCCAGCACCAACAGGCTGAGAATTACTACGCTATGAAACCATGATGCCCCGCCCCCCATGACAGTTCTTAATATTCACCGAGTGGTTTAATATGCCAACTGCTGTTTTAAGTATTCATCTTATTTCATTCTAAAACATGGATACTACAGGCTGAATTTCCCTTGCCCAAAATGCTTTGGACTAGAAGTTTTTTAGATTTTGGAGTTTCTAGAATATTTGCACAATTTTATGGGCTGAGGTTCCCTAATTTGTAAATTTTAAATTCTGGATTTTGGGATTCCAGATTTTCTATCTGTACTATTGATCCCCATTTCACAGTTGCAAAGAGTTTCGGTATTAAGTGCCCAGCTCTCCCCCATCACTTTTTCTCTGTAACTGACTTTCAAAATGAATAAGTAAATCCTTAAAAAGAAAAAGGACCCAGATGGAACGGAATCTCCACCAGGACTCAATCCTAGCTGCTTCACCAAGGGGCTCCATATTTTCCAGACCTAGCCCATCACAGTGATAGACAGCACTGATTTTGGTCTTATTTCTCATGTCTTCAGCACTTTATTTGATAAAGGTGGAGCAATATTAGTGCTGTCTCATAGTGTTAGCATGAGCATTAGATGAGATGGTGGAAGGGAATCAGTCAACAGAAACGGGAATTACAATAACATCATGATTTGCTGCCTGGTATGTGTTTTATGGGAAAGAATTTTATAGGAGATGAATTTTCTCCAGGGGAACCCCTTCTCATTGGGCAGGAAGGCTATTTCCATGTATTTCCACTCTACTTCCTTTTCCTCCTAGACTCACAGCCAGATCTTCCCAGTTTACCTTGCTGCCTGTGAGGGTTACAGGACTGAATTAGGCCACGGTCTGTGGGCAGAAGTGACATGCATTCCTTCTAAGCCCTGTCTCCACTTTCTTGTGCCACCCTAACCCACTCTCCTGACTTAGGGCACCTCAGCTTGTGTTTGCTGCAAAGCCTTTAGGCAATCTGGCGAAACCTATTAACCTATTAACTCAGGACAGTGTTCCTTAATACTTAAAATAATATTTTAAAAGAGGAATGGGTATGTTGAAATACATCTATAAAAATATCAATATATGTATTGAATAACTGGCATGTTAAACCTTTTTGGTTTTAAATGTTTATTATTTATTTGAAACACAGAATAACAGTGAAAGAGGAGAAGAAGAGACAGGGAGATGAAGCAGAGGGAGAAGGAAGGAGAGAAAAGGAAGGATGAGGGGGAGGGGAAAAGAAAGGGGAAGGAGGATGAGGAGGAGGAGAAGAGGAAGAGGAGGAAGAAGAAAAGAGGAGAGGAAGGGAGAGAAAAAGAGAGAGACATGAATGAATGAATGAATGAATGAATGAATAAATGAGTTACCTGAGGTTTGTTACAATCATTGATTCACTTCCCAAATGGTTGAAATGGCCAGGGCTGGGCAAGGCTGAATCCAGGAGCCCAGAGCTGCTTCTATGTATCTTACATGGATACAGGGCCCCACCCACTTGGTCCATCTTCCACTGCTTTTCCAGGTACATTTACAGGGAGTGGGACTGGATGTGGAGCATCTGCGTCTGGAACTGGTGCCCATGTGGGATGCCAGTGTCTGAGGAAAGACTTAACCTAGTACACCACAACGCCAATTCCCAATAAGATCTTGAAGAGGTTTTAACAGCTACTAGTGCTTTTTTTTTTTGTTAAAGATAACGATCTATTTTTCATTATTTATTTATTTGTGAGGCAGAGAAAGACATAAACAAAGAGAGATCTTCCATTCACTGGTCCATTTCCCAAATGCCCGTAACATCTGAGGCTGAGCCAGGCTGAGCCAGGAGCACAATACTAGAGCCAGGGCTTCCAGGTGGGTGCTAGGGACCCAAGCATTTGAGCTACTACGTGCTGTCTCCAAAGATGCACAGTAACAGGAAGCTGGGCTCAGACATGGAGCTGGGTTTCAAACCAGGCACTTTGATATGGGCATCCTAAGCATTGCATTAACTTCTATACCCAAACTTGTCCCCCAAATAAGGGTAAGTGTAAATAAGTCATGTTATATACTAAAACTACAACATGATTTGCACTAAGATTTCCATTGATATTAAAGACACAAGTGGTGCTAATATTGTAGTTTGATGTCTTTATCCAATGTAGTCAGAAATGAATGGGAAAGGCATATGGCTAGTTATGTAAAAGACTTTTATAGTATAGTAATATTCAATAACATAGAAAATAAAATTCCTTCTACATCATAGAAACTTTTTAAGCTCTCAAATTTCTGATTGTTTTAGGGAGTAAATCCTATAATAGTATTCTTGTGCTATAATAAATGTTATTTATAGGAGTGCAGTTCTTCATCCTAGCAATAATATATCAAACCTTTTTTTCCTAAAATCTCAGAAAGTAGGACAACCGAGTCCAAATTACAGTAAAATAAATGGCACTGGTATAAGTAGATGCCACAGAGCTATCCAATCCCAGATACAATGAAGTTAACACCTTCTCCAAGTCCCCTGATCACAGCATAACTACCAACGGTAGCTGTTGATCCTGTCCTCAACTACATAGGCAGCTTCTCTGAGTCTCCTGCTTAGAGCTCCAGTGCAAGCTGCAGCTGGAAGAAAGTTATGGATTGGACAGAAAGAAATCAGGTGGACTTGGCCTTCTCTTTCCTGTTTGGTTTCGCATGTTGTGTTTGGCCTAAGTATGGGGAAGTGCTTGGAAGGGAGGAGTCTTGACTTCAACTCCACAGCATCTGGCTCACAAAATAATTGTGTTCAGCGTTGGGAATGTTGTGCTTTGGGCTCCAGGTAGATAAGCCACAATGGAGATACATTAATTTATTTAAACAACTTGTAAATGATCTATGTTCAAAGAATATTTGCTATATAGATTGCTGTTCTGTAGACTCTAAGATGTCCCCAGCACAGTTCACACCAGCTTATCTCACTAGGCTGTAAACCAACTTTTCAAGTGGGTGGTGATCCCTTGTGTGGCAAAGCACTGAGTTATGGGTAGCTTTATCCTCAATATCTGAAGTTTCCTTCTCTTCCAGGTACAGCTACTCAACATTGGAAATTACCTGAGGAAGGTGTATGTTCACCAGCAGGGGATGGGTAAATCTGTTGCAGGAAAAATTACTGTGTAATTTACCATAAGTATGAGCAGGTGGAGACTCCAATTCAGCAATGCATTCTGGAGGGGACAGCTAGCTAAAGGTCCTGCTGCTTTGCAGGGTGATTGCAAATGTGGACTCAGAAACATATAGCAGGAAATTTATAAGCTGTTTTTTGGGTGAGTGGTATGCACAAAATTCCTTGGGAGAGAGAAGTTCTGATTTCTCCCTAATTCTTTGGTATTCCCTTTTGAATAACACATCTCATACCTATTATTCCATTTTACCCTAATCTCTCAGAGACCTTTGTTCATATTATACTCATGCAGTGGTACTGGCCAGCTCATCTGTGGAGACGACACTGATGAAAAACTTCGGAAATGCTTGCTAACTTTGACCTAATTTAACTTTAGGGGTTTTATGCTATGGCAAAATCCACACTGTTTGCTAACATGGATTTATAAAGTTTTTATCACTTTTAGACTCAGGAAAAATCTGAAATAACCTAAGGCTGCCAGCGGGGTTGGCTAAATTTATTTTGTATAACTAAATATTAAACAACCTTAAAAATGAAGGTATGGGCCCAGCACGATAGCGTAATGTTTAAGGTCTTTGCCTTGAGCACGCTGGGATCCCATATGGATGCTGCTTCTAACCCCAGGGCCCTGCTTCCCATCCAGCTCCCTGCTTGTGGCCTGGGAAAGCAGTTGAGGAACGCCCAAAGCCTTAGGACCCTGCACTTGCATGGGAGACCCAGAAGAGGATCTGGGCTCCTGGCTTCGGATTGGCTTAGCTCCAGCCATTGTACTCACTTAGGGAGTGAACCATCGGACGGAAAATCTTCCTCTCTGTTTCTCCTCCTCTCTGTATATTTGTCTTTGCAATAAAAATAAATAAATCTTTTTTTTTAAAAAATGAAGGTACAAGAAAAACTTCTTTGACATAAAATGGAAAGTTCTTAGTCTGATCTGCCCTATTGAGCCCTATAGGACCACACTGCTCCATTCTGTCCCAGGCTCAGTGCCCTGGAACTGACTTTTAGGTACTTTATCATTGTGCCCACTGACCTACAGGGCTCTGGTTGGATCTGGCCCGAGGGGAGGCTCTGACAGGAGGCTGGAAGACAGAGAAGCATTGATTTCTCTGGGTCTGCTCTTCACGCGGCCCCTGGAGAGCAGTGGCCATCTTCCTCCTCAGAAACAGACCACTTTTGTTGGGTGACTTCTCTTACAGCTCTGGGTTTACAACCCTCTGGGTTCTGGAGATACTCTTCACTTGCCTGTTGAGGGTGAGACATGGTAATGGCTTTCCTTGGCTGTCTCCTCACCTTAACCACCATGGTACTGCATCGCCCCTACTGAAGTCCCTGAACCCTGTCAATAATGTTTGTGAATCAATTCTTCATTAAACTCT